TGTCCTGGACTCATCTCTTCATTCACGCTTTACATCCAAGTGCACAGAAAATCCTGTGGCTCTGACTTCAAGGAACCTCTGGAATCCAACCCCTGCTCACCCTCTCTGTTCCCACCCGCTGTCCAAGTCACCACACTGCTCCGTGGGTGTGGCTCTGTCCGTTTTGTTAGCTGCCGCACCTCTTGGGCCTAGGCTGGGGCTTAGCACATAATAGGCCATGAGTAACTGTGTTGGTTACATTACTGAATGACCTAAGGGCTTCTGTACACATTAGACTCCAAAAGGATTCCACTTCTCAATACACAAATGATTTCACAACTATAAAAATAATAACAAACATTTTCTGAACATCCACCACATGCCAGGAAGACTCTAGGCCCAGAGAAATAAGAAACTGTCCAAGGCTAAACATCCGGTGGTTAGTGGAATAGATAGTTGAATCATATCCATTTATTCAATGCATCGACTATTTATTGAGTGCCAGTTAGGTGTCAGGCGTTGTTTTGGGAAAACAAAACAGGCAAATTCCTTATTCTAATAGATCTTACATTCTAGTAAAGAGAAAGATGCAAGAAATGGAATGTATACTGTATATGTGACAGGTGCTACAAGAAAGCAAGATAAGGGCATTAGGAGAGACAGGGGAGGCTCTCCAAGGTGGGATGATCAGGAAAGATCTCTTTGAGGGTGGCATTTGAGCAGAGACCTGGGTGAAGTGAGGGGTCATATCAACATGTGGGAGATGAGCAAAGACCCTGAGGGAAATCATCCTCAGCATGTCTGGGGGACATCAGGGAAGTTAGTGTGGCTGGAACCCAGGCAGTGAAGGGCAGAGTTTTTGGAATTGAGGTCAAAGATGAAGAGGGTGTGCCAAAGGGACCTTGTAGGTGGAAGCCTTTTGATGTGACTTCGAATGAAGTGGGAAGCTGTTAGTAGGTTTGAGAAGGGGAGAGGTATGATCTGAGTTAGATTTTAGTAGGATCACTGTGGCTGCTGCATAGAGAAAGGCTTGAAGAGGGAGGTCTGTGTGGATGTCTGTGATGGTTAATTTTATGGGTCAGCTTGGCCGGGCTATGATGCCCAGTTGTTTGGTCAAAGGCCAGTCTAGATGTTGCTATGAAAATGTTTTTTAGATGTGATTAACATTTATAATCAGTAGACTTTGAGTAAAGCAGATTACCCTCCATAATATACGGATGGGCTTCCTCCAATCAGTTGAAGGCCTTAAGAGCAAGGACTGAGGTTTCCTGAAGAATGAATTAACATAGAAACGCTATCTGAGTTTCCTGCCTATGGGCCTGGAATCTACAGGTAGATTTCAGACTCAAGACTACAACGTCAATTCTTACCTGAATTTCTAGCCTGCAGGCCTGCCCTACAGATTTGGGACTTGCTAGCCCCAACAATCATGTGAGCTAGTTCCTTAAAGTAAATCTAGATAGGTGATAGATACAGGCAGATGACAGACAGAAAGAGATCATCTGTGTGTGTGTGTGTGTGTGTGTGTGTGTGTGTGTGTGTGTGTGTGTGTGTGTGTGTCTCCCGTAGGTTCTGTTTCTCTGGAAATCCCTACCTAATACAAAGCTGTTGCAATAATCTGTGAGACCCATGATGATAGCTTGGACCTTGGTGGTAGCAGTGGAGATGGTGAGACATGGTTGAAGTCTAGAAGTACTTTAAAGCTAGAGCCAAAAGGATATGCTAATTAATTGAATTTGGCAGATAAAAGAAAGAGGGGCATCAGGGATGTTTGACTGGAGCACCTGGTAAAATGAAGCACCATCAACTGTTACGGGAGATGCTGAAATGAGTCTGGAGCCGAGGAGAGAGGTCAGGCTGGGGAGGGAACAGGGCATTGCATTGATGGCATTAAAATCCTTGAGGGTGGATGAGCTCACAAAGGGGGTGATTACAGACAGAGGAAGGAGGTCCAGGGACACCATGCAGCATTCTAACATGTACAGGTCAAGGAGAGAAGGAAAAACAAAGGAAACTGAGAAGATGGGACCAATGAGATTGGCAGGAAATCTGGAGAGCATGTGTCCTAGAAGCCAAATTGAGAAAGAAACTTATTCCAAGAAAGATGGAGTGACCAACTGTGACAAATGCTGCTGGGGGGAGGTCCGTTTGGGGCAGGAGAGTCATGTGCTCTGGACTGCCATGGGGCGAAGTCCAACACACACATGGGCAAACTGGCTCCCACTCTGCATCCACGTTTGAGGCTTCCCTGCAGAGATAGAGCCCAGGCTGGAGTGACAGTCACTTTCCACGTCCAAAAAGGAGGAAGTGTCCTGATAATACTATCTCAACGACGCAGCTGGTTGGGGTTGGCAGTAAGGACTTACATCTGTGGCCGGGTTGGTTTTGATGGATGGTGGGTCGTTCATGAAGAGATTAGGAGGAGATAGGTTGAGAAATGACGTTGGGCCGTGCTAGGCAGATGGGGAAGTGATCTCTTTCCCAGGGAGGGATGGACATGTGACAGGCCCTGGCTGGAGGAGCCAGAGGGTAGAGAAGGGAAGGACACCATGGCCACAGGGGCTTCCAAACCTATAGGTTTCTTCTTGTCCCCTTGATGGGGGAAGGGGGGAAGGGATAAGCTTGCTCTGGTGGGAAGAGCAGGGATTTGGGAATCATGTGGCCTCATGACAACTTCATATGCTGGAGTCTGGTCATCTGTTCACAAATGAGAAACTGAGATCACAGAGGCTGTCACTTGCCCAATGTCGTATGGTTGGTCCAACTCAGCTCAGGGCAGAAGGGCGCAGCCTCAAGTCCAGGCTGCACAGATTAGATGTCAGAACTGTCCCAGCTGTTGTTTCAGAAATGGGGTTTGTCGGGGGGGTTCTGTGGAGAAGGAGCAGCAGGGACACCACCAGGCACATGCTGGGGAAATGGGCAGAGTGGGGACAGGGCAAGTCCCAGGCTCCTCTGAGACAGGAATTGTTCGGTTTTTCCTCACAGCAAACACTGTGAGGTTGTTCATCATTTTCTCCACTTTACAGATAAAGTAATGGAGGCTCAGAGAAGCTAAGGAATGTGCCCAAGGCCACACAGCTGATCAGTGTTGGACTCTGGGCTTGAACTCAGCTCTCCTTGTCCCCAAGGCCTGTGTTCCTTTTTCTGTAACACCACAGGCTGAGCAGAGCTGAGAAGTCTGGACAGAAAACCTGCTCACGGGCCGGCCCGGTGGCACACTGCTACAGTGCGCCGCTTGGGAGTGCGGCGGCGCTCCCGCCGAGGGTTCGGATCCCACGTACAGACCGGCTCCCGCTCACTGGCTGAGCAAGGTGCGGGCGCGACACCGAGGGTTGCGATCCGTTGCCGGACACGAAAAAAGACAAAAAGGGAAAAAAAAAAAAAAAAGAAAAGAAAACCTGCTCGCCTCTCCTACTCCCACAGTGACAGCAAACATGGTGCCTCACTGGACCCTGGGCTACTCTTCTGTAACGTGGGGACAACCATGACACCTATGCTATAGAATTAGATGGGACTGTGCACATAAAACAGTGTTGTGCACGCTGTTCAAGAAATGAAAGCCACTGTTATCTCATGATCATTCTCATTTTACAGATGAGAAATCATATGAGTCCACTAATGTCTTTACACTCTAAAGAGCAGAGTCTGAAGTCTGGATTCAAAGCAAGACACAGGAAACTCCAAAGTTCACTTGAGCTTTTCTTCTATTTCAATCCAAGATAAGAAAGAAGATGGGCATTTCAGGCAGATGAAATGTATCGGCAAAAACCTGAGATGGGATTAGGCATGTGCCAGTAGGGTCGGTGTGAGGGAGCACAATGACATCAGATTTTAGACCCCAAGTTGAAGTGGCACCTTAAACACCAAGATACACCGTCAGGGCTTCAATTCAACATTATGCATGGGGTGCAGACCACGTGCCATAGGCAGTGCCTGGCAGAACTGGGCCCGGACACGGTGCTGTTTACAGCTGCCTGATCTGGCAGCGATGATATATTGCCCTTATAGACTTTGCCCTCTTCTCTGTGACCCAACCTTCAACCACTGAGGTGGTGAGTATACACCGCCTACAAGGCAGCTGTGAGCTCAAGGGGCCTGCTGGAGATATGTCATCCAGGAGATAAGGGCTAGCTGGGGGGCTGGGGCCCCTCCACCCTCACAGCAGCCTTATGCGGTAGGCTCTATTATGCCCATTTGGTGGAAGAGAAAACTAAGGCTCAGTCAGAGTCGATGTCATTTGTGCAAGACCACACAGCTGCAGCGGGACTAGGATTTGAACCCAGGTGTCTCCAAGGCCACACTCTTTTCTCCATGCTAACCCAGCATCGGCCATCGGCTTCTGAAAGGCATAGGCAGGTAAGACAGGTCAGCCATGGCCCAAGGGGGCCCAGGCATGGGTGGGAGATGGCAGGCAGAGGCAGCTGAAGGCCTGGGCAAGGACTGGCCAAAAGGACGGTCCTTAAATACAACTGGGGGGGTGAGGTGGGGGAGAGTGGGCTGGGAGGGAGTGGGTCTTGGGGATGTGGGGGCTGGAGAACCCTGAGATCAGCCTTGTCTGCCCACCCTGCCCTGGGCCAGCCGGTCTGTCTGCATCCTTCACCCAGAGAAAGCACCATGGGCTGGCCTGGGCAGAGACACCTGGCTGGAGTCTCTCTTCATCCTCGCTTTCCCTGTCCGTAAAATGGTCTATCATTCTACTCACGTAGGTGTCTTGAGAGCGAATGGAAAGCAGTGGGGCCCGAGGCCCTGGCACAGACCCCCGCATGCAGCAGGCACCTGACATACGCGCTCCATGGCTCATACAAGTCCGTGTGCTCCGGGCTGCATGCCCTCCTCGCCATCCCCCGCCCCCTTCCTGCGCACCAGCTCTGGGCTTGTCAGAGAGTCAACCAGCTGTCAGCCCCACCCCAGCTGGCCAGTTAATAAATGACCAGGGCTCAGGAGCCTGGCCTATAAGGAGCTGCTAGCAGGGGACGCAGGTGGGAGCCAGGTGGATGGCAGCAGGACACAGAGGGAGCGAGATGGGCAGCAGGACCATGTCAGGGCTCCTGTTGGGGGTGGCTGTGGTCGTCCTGCTGCTGCAGAGTGCACAGTCAGTCCACATTCAGGTAAGTCCCTCCAGCCAGCCCGCCCTCTGCCTGAAAGTCCCCATAGTGGGAGGCTTGGCTGGAGAGGGTGCACTGAGAATTCAGGGGTACGGGGGAGCATATGGCCTATCACAGCCCCGGGACCAAGACAGCTGGAATGCCGATGGCAGTGTTGATGGTGACGATGATAACAAGCTGCTGTTTATTCGGCACAGCTCTCCTCCAAGGTCAGTACTGGTCTCAGAGTTCAGAGTGTGGAACAAGACATGGACCCTGCCCTGGAGGAGTACAGAAGGGGAGGGAGACCCCTTTTCATGCTCTCACAGCTTTCTATATTCACCCTTACATGGGTGGAGGGGAGATTGGCACCAGAGAGATTTTCCTGGCAGGTGACCCTTGAGCTGACATTGCTGGATGAGCAGGTGGTTGCTGGGCACAGAGGATGGGTAGATGGTTCCGGGCAGAGCACACAGCATATGCCAAGTCCCTGAGAGAGGACAGCAAGGGGTCAGGTGTCCTCCCAGGGTGTCTGTGAGGCTGGTAGGAGTGTGGCTGGATGCTGCTGGACTCCCTGAGCACAGCAGAGAAGTGTCTGGCCCTGGGTGTCACATCCCTGGCTCTGGGCAGGGTTTCCCTGGAAAGAATGAAGGGGGCCTGGGGAGGGGTGCAGGAATGGCAGCCTCCCCTGCAGCCCTGGCCTTGAGCCCGGCCAGCTTGGGTTTGCCATCACTTTTCCATGTCAGTTCAGGGGAGAGCACCCCGTTAGCACGTGTGTCCTGGTACCAGGCCCTGGAGGAATGTCAGCTGAGAGAGTCGAGGCTTGGAGAGGGGCCGAGCTGGGATTTGAACCAGGGCCAGCCTGTCTCTAACGTCCCTACCTTGAGCCACTGCCTTGCTTCAACTCCTCTGCCAGCTCCTGATGGCCTGTGACATGTTGGGGTGGGAGCAGATCAGACATTATCTCCCACCCCCAAGGCTGCTCTTGCCAGTGTGGCCTTGGCTTTCCATGAGAACAGAGAAGGGTCCAGAGGATCCGAGGGGTGCGAGGAACCCTGGGGCTCATGGCAGTGCCTGCTCCTGGCCCAAGTCTTGATTCCCGCCATCCTCTCCCCTCCTCCAGTACCAAGGCTTCCAGGTCCAGCTGGACTCAGTGAAGAAGCTGAATGACCTGGAGGGACAGCAGGTTCCCAGCCCCCGCCTGCAGGCCCAGAGCCTCCAGCCCTCTGTGTGCAGTGACCCAGCCCTGCCCGCCGACCTCCAGCCTGTCTGCACCTCCCAGAATGCTGCCAGCATCTTCAAGGCCTTGAGTAAGTGGCCCGATCCCCGCAGAGCTTCCTGCCCCTCGCCGTCTCCCCACCCCCAGCTCTTCCACCACGTGTTGTTTCTGTTAAGCACCCAGTGGCTGAGGTCAGAGAGATTCCAGCAACTCAGCCCCTGTCCTCCCCAGGACTTCCCGGGTTTGGGCACTGCAAGTCATACATGTCCGGAACACCCTGAGCCCCAACAAGTCCCTCAAAGCCTCCATGGACGGGAGGGAAGGAGCACGAGGAACAGACCCACAAGCAGACAGCGACCTCATGGGAACACAGGGGAGAAGGTCACACTGGGGAGGAATAAGGGGTCTGAGAGGCTTCCAAGAGGAGGTGACAGCTAAGCCAAAATCTGAAGGAAGAAGCAGAGCGGGGCAGGAGAGCACAGCACCTAGCTAGCGCTTACTAAGCACCTACTATGTGCTGGGCCCTGTGTCCCCACCTTTGCCTGCATCTCTCCTCACAGCAGCCCTGTCGGGTGGATGCTGTCTATTTAGCAAACAAGAAAATCCAGGCACAGAGAGCCTGAGTGACTTGCCCAGGCTCTGCTATGAAGGAGTGCACCTGGGACTTGAACCCAAGCCTCTCTCTCCACTCTGACATTTCGTGCTCCTCCCCTGTGAGGCTGCTGGGTCCACTCCTGAGCAGCCTTCTCTGCTGCCCGGCCAGCAGCTGCCCTGGAACCGCAGGCATGAGGGTTCGGGTTCAGCTGACCAGTTTTCTCCCCTGCCCAGAGACCATCGCTAACGACAACTGTGAGCTGTGTGTGAACATCGCCTGTACCGGCTGCCTCTGAGATGGCCCCGGGTGTCCTGGACCCACCCTGGACACCTTAGTGCCCCCACCCAGCCCACTGCCTTTTCAGCCCCCTACCCCCATCCACGCTCAGGTGGCCAAGCAGCTGGATCCGGTGCAAAGTGATTGGACAGGCAGTTGGAGGAGAGTTTGGCCGGAGAGGTAGCCCTGCTCCTGAATAAAGATTCTCCACCCACACACAGAGTCCAGCTGTCCATTTTTTCATCCCCAACAGCCAGGGATGGAGCTTCTTGGGAAGCTGGGAGGGTTGAAGATGAAGGCTGGACTGAAGACACCAGGCGGGAATTTCTCTGCAGTTTGCAACATCTGAAGAGTTGATTCATTAAAGCCCATTTTGTATATAGGGAGCCAAGGCTTAGGACGGGAATGATGCACCCAAGACCACAGAGCTGAGGAGCCACAGAGCAACCTAGACCCATTGGACCCCCAAGCTGAGCTCAAGTCCTCCCCCAGATTCTGTGCTCCTGCCCCAGGGGTGGGGCTGGGGGAGAAGGGAAGCGGAATTGAGGAATGGGTAGAGGGGACAATCGCCTGCGCCCCTTGTCAGGCCAGTGGTCCGAGCTGACTCTTCCCCAGGGCCTGCCTGAGGAGGGGGCCTTTGCCTCTGTCCCCACTTCCCTGAGATCCGTCTCTTCTCAGCCTCTCCGGGACACGTCTGGCCAGCTCCAGCTGGGAGACCTTCCCTCTCTCTCTCCAGCTCGGTGGCCCTAACGAATATTAATAATAATAATAGCCAACAGTTATGGTGCATTGTCTACATCCTAGGTGCCGCAGTACACACATGGCACATATTAACTTGTGGAGTCCTCGCAGCAGTCTGATGGAGTGAATGCCAGTATTACTACCATCTCCACTTTGCAAATAAGGAGAGTCAGGCACAGAGACAGGAGGCATGGCAGGGTTCTTCCCAGGACGTCTGGGCTGGAGTCCATGCTCTGACCACCATGTTGCCATGTTTGCGTGGTGCTGGGCCACGCTCATGATGCCTAACAGAGGGCCCAGTGCAGCACCTTGCTCTCATGGAGCCATGCTGGGAATTCCTGGGAGCAGAGCCTTTCCACAGAGCAGGCTCCTTCTCAGCCTTGGTCCTGGGCTGCCAGGGGGAAGGAAAGTCAGTGCAAAGGGACCGTGCTCTCTGAACTCAGCTCACTGAGGCCATGGCAAACCCCCCAGCCAGCTGCCCCCCTTACTGCTCCATTCTGCTCATGAGTCCTGCAACCTCCCAGAGCTCCAGCTTCTTCCTCTCCCTCATCCCACAGGCAAGGCTGTCTGGGGCCTTTGCAAGGCCACCTGTGGCTCTCAGGCCCCCACTTCCCATCCCTCTATCATTGCCCAATGGGGTCCTTGTTGCAGAATTGTTGGGCCAGGCCAGACTTTCTCCTTGGTCCTGTGTGCTATAGGCTGTCTATGCCCACCTGCCAGAGGAGCACGGCAGCACAGCTCTGACGGTGTCCCTTACCCTCCCATGGCTCCCCAGTGCCACCTCTCTAGTCTAAGCTGGGCCCAAGCACCATCCAGACTCATCTCCCAGTGCTCCCTTCAGCTACACGGGGTCCTGCCTGCCTGGTGAAGACAGCAAAGGAAAGTGCCACTGATCAAGCACCCACGATGTGCCAGGCACAGGCTGTGCTGCCACACAGAAAACAGTAACACAGCAGCACCAACCAAGTGCTGCTATGGGCCCGGCATTTTCTTTTTATTCTTCTTTTTTTTTTTCTTTTACCATCTTCCCATTTCCTCCCAATCCCCAGTCCCTGGTAACCACCATTCTACTCTCTGCTTCTGAGTTTGATTTTTTTTAGATTCCACATACAAGTGAAGTCATGCTGTATTTGTCTTTCTATATCTGGTTTATTTTACTTAACACAATCTCTTCCAGGATCATCCATGTTGCTGCAAATGACAGGATTTCCTTCTTTCTTAAGGCTGAATAGTGTCCCATTGTGTCTACGTGCCACATTTTCTTCCACTCACCTGTTGATGGACATTTAGGCTGATTCCCTCTCTTGGCTATTGTGAATAATGCTGCAAAACATGGGGGTGCAGATATGTCTTCGACATACTGATTTCCTTTCTTTGGATAAATACCCAATAGTGAGATTGCTGGATCATGTGATAGTTCCATTTTTAATTATTTGAGGAATTTCCATACTGTTTTCCACAATGGCTGTACTAATCTAACGTTCCTACCAACAGTGTGCAAGGTTTCCTTTTCTCCGCATCCCTGTAAACATTTACCTCCTTTTTAAACAAAAGCCATTCTTACAGGTGAATGATGATATCTCATCATGGTTTTAAGTTGAATTTCTCGGATGCTTAGTGATGTTGAACGTTTTCTCATTTATTTGTATGTCCTCTTTTGAGAAATATCTATTCCGATCTTTTGCTCATTTATTATTCTTATTACTTATTTATTTTATATATTACCCAGTTTCAGGCATTCTGTTAAAAGCAACACAAACAGACTAATACAGCCCACAAAGCCTAAAATATTTACGATCTGACCCTTTGCAGAAAATGTTTGCCAGCCCCCATCTAGGTTAGTGGGCAATGAGTACTGCAGGAAAGTCCACCCAGGATGCTTTGGCAAAAGCTTTTCTTCTCTTGGAAGGAGAAGCCATTTTTCCTGCTGCCCTCTGGTTTCCTGCTTTGGACACTGTCACAGGAGGAAGTGGTGCCTGGGCACTATGGCAGCCACCTTCCAACTCGAAGGGAAGCTCAGAAGAATCACAGAGATGCCCATGTAGTACCCTGACATCACTGAACCACTGAGCCAGCCTCAGGACCACCCTCTGCAGCCTTCTTATTATGTGAGAAAAATAAGCCTGGAAACAATTAAATATTTCAGGGGGGTTCTCTTTGAGAAAAAAGGATACAAGACCACGAATACAAAATTGGTATTGTGTAAAATGAGGGAAAAATATTGTTATTGTGTGATTATTTAGAACGAAATAAGAAATCACAACACTCATAGATTTTAAAAGCTGACAAATACCAGAGATATCACCTAATCCAGAGAAATACTAGAAAAGCTTTATTAAATAGCTGCCCTATACACCTCTGCCTTCCTTTCTGGCAGGAAAAACTTCCAGCTCTAAATATTTCAAATCTTGTTTCTCCTCCGCTTCCCACATATTGTGACATTATAGCCTTGGCACCATGATGCCTGGTGACACCCAGTGCATACAGTAGGACTATTCCTGGAAGTCATTTCTATACCAGACTCCAAGCAACAGCGTAACTATCCATGGAAGTGACTGGGAAGTACCTAAATATACCCTCTAAACCCATGTTAAATGAATCCCCAACTCAATTTCCCCTTCGATGGATTCTAAAAATGCTCGTGGCCCCTCCAGCACCATCACACACAAAGGGAAGTTGATGAGAGGACATCAGAGTGAGAACTATGATTACAGTGTTCTGCAAATTTTGCAAAAATACGTGACCACGTGAACACATTGCTAGCGCTTGGTGGGGACCTACCCAAGTGTGAGGAGCCTGAAGCCTCAGCTGCACTAGCTTCTCCTAAATTCATCTCTGACTTTTATTTTTCAAGCCACAGTCACTGGGTATTTAGCTTACTTGCACCTGCAAGCATTTCTTTTCTTTTTCTTTTTTTAAAAATTCAGTTTTATTTATATTTATTTCTGTGGGATACAGTGTGTTGTTTCAATACATGCATATCCTGCACAATGATTTACTTAGGGTAGATAGCGTAGTTCTGTCCCCATTAGTTCACCCCTTATCTTCCCCCTACCCCTCCAGACTCTGGTAACCATTATTCCAGTCTCTACTTTTTTTTTCTTTTTATAGCACACAAAGAATAATTTCCATATTGCAAAAAGAACTCTTAAAAATTAATTAGAAAAATCTAAGCTGAAATTAGGTGAAGGACATGAGCAGATAAGTCACACACCCAAAGAAATACACGTGGTTAATAAGTATCTTCTAGGATCTGGTTGGGGGGCTGGGGGAGGCTGTCCAGGCCCTGTCTCTTAGGATCCTGTGGCTTGGGCTGGCTCCTTCTGGAACCCCCGGGGCGTTGGGCTGGCTTCCTTCGTTGGCTTGGATGTTATGCCCATTTTTTAATTGGGTTAATTTGTTGTGGTTTTTTCTTTTTTTTTTTTTTTTAATTTTTTGCTGTTGAGTTGTTTGATTTCCCTGTTTATTTTGGATATTAACCCCTTAGCAAATATATTCTCCCATTCTTTAGTTTGTCTCTTTGTTCTGTTGATTGTTTCCTTAGCTATGCAGAAGCTTTTTAGTTTGATACAATCCGATTTGTCTATTTTTGTTTTTGTAGTTTGTTTGTTTGTTTTCTACAGCTGGCCTGTAAGAGGATCTTAGTCCCCGACTATGGTACTACAACACTGCACTCTAACCAGCTGAATAACCAGCCAACCCTTATTTTTGCTTTTGTTGCCTGTGCTATTGAAGTCATATGCAAGAAATCTTTGCCAAGACCAACATCAAGAAGATTTCCCCCTATGTTTTCTTCTAGTAGTTTTACAGTTTGGGGTCTTATGTTTAAGTCTTTAATCCATTTTGAGTTGGTTTTTGTATATGGAGTGAGATAGGGGTCTAGTTTCATTCTTCTGCATATGGTTATCCAGTTGTCTTGACACCATTTATTAAATCTAGTATCCCTTCCCCATTGTGTGACCTTGATACTTTTGTCAAAGATCAGTTGACTGTAAATGTGTGGATTCATTTCTGGGCTCCCTATTCTGTTCCATTAGTCTCTATGTCTATTTTTGTGCCATGCTGTTTTGATTGCTATGGCTTTGTAGTATATTTTGAAGTCAGGTAGTGTGATGCCCCCAGCTTTATTCTTTTTGATCAAGATTGCATTGTCTATTTGGGGTCTTTTGTGGTTCCATATGAATTTTAAGGTTGTTCTTCTATTTCTGTGAAAAACACCTTTGGAATTTTGATAGGAAATTTCATTACATCTGCAGACCACTTTAAGTAGTATGGACATTTTAACAATATTAATTATCCCAATTCATGAACATGGGATATCTTTCCATTTTTGTGTGTCTTTTTCAATTTATTTCATGAATGTTTCATATTTTCCAGCATAGTTTTTCACCTTTGTTAAGTTTATTGCTAAGTTTGTTGTTGCTGTTGCTATTGTAAATGTGATTATTATCTTGACTTCTTTTTTGCATAGTTCATTGTTAGTATATAGTATTGCTAGTGATTTTTGTATGTTGATTTTGTACTCTGCAACTTTAGTGAATTTGTTTATGAGTTCAAACAGTTTTTTGGTGGATTCTTTAGAGATTTGTATACATAACATCACATCACCTGCAAACAGAAATGATTTAATTTCTTCCTTTCCAAGGTAGGTGGCTTTTATTTCTTTTTCTTGACTAATTGCTCTGGCTAGGTCTTCCAGTACTATGCTTAACAGAAGTGACCGCAATGATTATCCTTGTCTTGTTCCTCATCTTAGAGGTTGATAAAGTTTGGATGTGTTGTCTCCCCAAAACTCATGTGGAAATCTGATCCCCACCTTGGCAATGTTGGGAACAGTTTGGGTTATGGAGGCAGATCCTGCATGAATAGGTCAACACCCTGGTGGCAGTGGTTGTGAGTGAGTTCCGGCCCGATTTGTTTCCATGACAGCTGGTTGTTTAATAGACCCTGGCACCTTCTCTCTCTGTCTTGCTTCCTCTCTCTTGCTTCCTCTCACCATGTGACCTGCTTGTACCCATCAGCTGCCTGCCACTTTCTGCCATGAGTAGAAGCAGCCTGAGGTCTGTGCCAGATGTGGTTGTCCTAGAATCATAAGCTAAATAAACATCTTTTCTTTTCTTTTTTTTTTTTTTTGTCTTTTTCCATGTCCGGCAACGGATCGCAACCCTCAGTGTTGCCCCTGTACCGGACCGGGGACCGGCAATGGGACCGCAACGCTCAGTGTTGCTCCCGCGCCTCGCTCAGCCAGTGAGCGGGAACCGGTCTGTATGTGGGATCCGAACCCTTGGGCGGGAGTGCCGCCGTGCTTCCCAAGTGGCGCACTTATCCAGTGCGCCACCGGGCCGGCCCAATAAACATCTTTTCTGTATAAATTACCCAGTCTCAGGTATTGTCACAGAAACACAAAATGGACTAATACAGAGGGAAAGTTTCAATGCTTGTATTTGAGTCCTCTCTTTTTTTTCCTAGTGTAGCTAAAGGTTTGTGGATTTTGCTTATCTTTTCAGAAATCCAACTCTTAGTTTTGTTGATCTTTTTCAATTGTTTTTCTAGGCTCTATTTCATTTATTTCTGAACTGATCTTTATTTTTTTCTTTCTTCTACTAACTTTGGGCTTTTCCTTTTCTACTTCCTTGAGGTATAATGTTAGGCTGTTTATTTGAGATCTTACTTCTTTTTTGATGTAAGTGTTTATGTGAGAAAAATAAGCCTGGAAACAATTAAATATTTCAGGGGGGTCCTCTTTGAGAAAAAAGGATACAAGACCACGAATACAAAATTGGTATTGTGTAAAATGAACTGCTTTTGCCGCGTCTCATAAGTTTTGGTACATTGTGTTTCATTTTTCATTTGTCTCAAGATATTTTTCAGCTTCTTCTTTGACCCAGTAGCTGGTCAGTAATGGTGGAGTTTTAAGAATTTTCCCAGTGTAACCTCACTTAATCTTCGCTCAGCCCTCTAATGTGGGGATTTTTATCATGCCCATTTTACAGGTGAGAAAACTGGGGAGAGAATGAGCTAAGTAACCCGCCCAAAGTCATACAGCTCTAGCAGACAGAACCAGAGCCAGAGAGTCTGTCTGCAGAGTTTGAGCCAGAATTAAATGATTCTACCTCACCACACATCTTGTCAAATCCCCCAGCAACCTGCGAGGCAGGACCTGTTATCATCCCCATTTTTGGATAAGGAAACCAAGTCTCAGAGAGGAACACACCACTTATGAATGACATGGTCAATTTCAAACCCAGTCCTGCCTACCTCCCAGGCTCCATACTGCCCAGACTGAACTGTTATAGTGCCTCAGTGTGTGTCTGCACCATCCCCACCTTCTGGAACACTCTCTTCTTACTTCTGCATTGCTTTTGGAATTCCATCCATCTCAATGCAAATCCCAAGGGCTAATTCAAATGCAATCCCCTCTCCTCCTTCAGAAAGTCTCCCCTGACCCCACCCTCTGAATTCTTCAGCCCCCTGTGGCACTTCCCCTCCACCCCAGTCCTGAAGAAGGATTCTGGCTACCTGGCCTCACTTCCACACCTCACCTCCTCCTGTCTAAACCATTCTCAGTATGAGCCTGGTCCCTCTTTCTTTGCTTTTTTTTTTTTAAACCGTATATTGAATTCCTCTTATGTTTGCATAAGGCCTGAACTGAGAGCTTTACATGCATTATTTTTCGCAAGCTGAGAGAGAGATACTATTAGCATCCCAGTTTTACAGAGGAGGAGACCGAGGCATAGAGAGGGAAAGCGACTTTCCTAACATTGCACAGTACCTGGAAGACCCAGGGTTCTTCCTGGGGGAACTGGCAAAGGCATGTTGAGGAGAGGCCATAGAGTGACGCCTTGGAGCCTGAGTAGGAGTTTGCCTGGCTGGGAGTGTGGGAAGAGGAGTGGTGTTGAGGTGAGCGAGAGCACAGGATGGAAATCATAGGGGAGGGCGGGAGGCAATGGTGGTGTCCTGTGGTCAGCAGGAGCCAGGTCCTGAGGCACCTCGTACACCCAAGAGCTTAGCGCAGCCTCCCGTCAGACCAAGTGCCTGTGTTGGACATGCAGCGTGCTGAGACAGGCTCCTGTGCTTATGTGCAGAGTGACTTTGGTAAACCTAGGAGATGTGAAAGAAAAGCAAAGTCATGTCCCCTCCACATTGGTGGTCTGGAGACTCAGGTCCCCTTCATGCCTGTGCGTGCTGGCAGCCCAAGGAGGTGGATAGCTTAGCTGGGAGAGTGGGGTCCTTTCACTAAGCACACTAAACTCCAGTTTCCCAGAGCAGGGCATCCATAAAGCTGGATGATGGGTGGACTGACAGATGAAGGAAGGAATGAAGGCAACACCCGCGGCACTCTGGAATCTGGTTTATTAGCTGAGGATCAGGACGCAGGTGTCAGCGCCGGGGCCTCCAGTACCCAGCCCCTCCCCAGCTGCTCTCCATTCTCCCCACTCCTCCATTGCACGGCGGGGAGGTTGAGCTGCTAGGAGTGGAAGTGTCACACACGGCCCTTCCAGCAGGAGAAAGGGCTTCCCTGCAGGGAGGGCAGGCAGGCCACAAGCAGTGCCGCCCTAGCACCCGGCACAGGCAGCGTAGGCACAGATCTCACACAGGATCGGGTGCTCGGCGATGGCCCCTGGACAAGAGAGATGGGGTCATGAGAGCCAGAGGCTGGACGTCGCTGCGCAGCCCCGGGAGAACCCAGCAGGCCTGTCCCCTCCGACCCACTGGGCTTTCCGCACCACACGAGGACACACGGGCTGCTGGAGTCAGCCAATGAGAGCGGAGGTTCTACCCAGAAAGGAGATGCAGCGAAGACCAGAGGGACCAGACGCAGTGCTACCGACCCGAGCTGAGTCAGAGCGAAAGTCTCCCTAAGCCTTCCCAGTTACAATCTGCCATGAATGAAACAGTGGGCTTAACAAACCCACCAGTCCCAGTGGCGCTCTCTAGCCCCACCAATCAGAGCCGAACCCCTCCTCGAATCCCACCAATCAGAGCACATCTCTTCCTCAAGTGCCACCAGTCAGAGAATTCCCAAGCCCCAGCAATCAGAGACGGGGTTGCTCACCCAGCCTCTGAAGGATCCCCTGGGCGTTTGGCTCCTTGCAGATAGGCTTGAGTTCTTCTGGAAATTTCGGGTTGCTACAAAGAATGGGAACCGCAGATGTAAAAGGCATGGGTTCAAGCTCCCTGAATTTCCCAATCCTGGGCTCCTGGAGCTCCCGGAGGCCTTTGAGCTTCTTCACTGACTCCAGGGAAAAGGAGAAATCTCCATCCTGAAAGAGACACGCCCAGAGAGTGAAGCCAGCCTGGAGCCTGCTTCCTGGCTGTGTCCCCCAGCGCCGGCCCCGCTCCAGCCCCAGTGGCGCTCAAGCAGTGTTTGTGGCATTTGGGAACCAGACTCCTCCGCAGGCGGTGAGAGGGGCCGGAGCTCAGGCCTAACGTCCTGGCTGTGCTGTGTGACCATGGCACTCTGGAAGCCTTAGGTTCTGTACGTGGTATAAGGAAGGGAGTAAATGGTATGAAGCGCCGCCAGGGACACAATGGTTGCCTGATGAGTAGGAGCCAGTATGCCGATTTTTAGAGAGAGGCACAGGGACCAGGACCCAGGCATCCTACCTCCACATGGCCATACCCTGTGCTGTCTCCTGCCCTGCCTGAGATCAGTGCCAGCTGATCACCGGATGTATAGCTCCAGGCTGCAGCGTGGTTTTTGTTTGAGAAGCAATAAAAGGCCTCCGGGAGACTGGCTCGGATAAACAGCAAGGCTCTGCTGGGTGCCAGCCTGGCCTGTCGCTGGCATCAGCACCACCAGGCACACCCATCCACCAGGACCTCCAGGATGCCCATATGACTCCTGGCACCCAGAAGGGTGCTATAGCTAAGCATAGAATTGTGTAGTAAGGTCTGGATTTGAATACAGCTCCTTTGCTTCCCAGCTGTGTGCCCATGGCCTGTTACAGAACCTACCTGAGACTCAGTCTTCCTCCTCTGTAATAATGGACTAATAAACCCTTCCTCCCAAGGCAATGGTGGGGCCACAGTGAAGTGCTGGGGGAGAACCTGACACACAGCAGGCACTCAGTAAATTGGCCAATCGCCCACCTTTCCCAAATGGTTATTTCTCTTCTCTCTGCCTGGGGTTCTTTGTCCTCCAAGTTTGAAGGGAAGGATGCGTGTGGCAGGACTGAGAAGAGGGTCCCTGAGGAAGACCAAACCTCAGACACACACCCTTACTCAAGCCCCAAAGAGGGGGTTCTCTCTCAGGGGACAGCCGCTGGGCACTGGGGGCAGGGGGCCGGCTGGGCCAGGATAGGGACAGAAGACTTACCCGCACAGTGACCTCCCCTGCCAGGGCCACCCAGGCCCCAACAAGACACAATGAGGACAGCAGCAAGGTGTTCGTGGCAATGGCGCCCAAGAGAGGGGAGCAGCTGGTTCTGGCTGTTGGGGGCAACAGTAGGACTTTTAAAGAGGGCAGAGTTACTGAGTAACCCAGGAGCCTCTGTCAGTCTCATCTGCTCACTTGTCAGGCCTCATCAGATAAGGCTCAAGACAGCCCTGGGAGATAAGAGCCTGGCAGAGCCCTGGCCACTCCCCAGGCACCCACTTTGACCCACAGCCAGGCTAGATCCTGTATTGACAACTGCTCTGGGCCAGACTCTGTGCTGGGACAGGGCCTGCAGACCAGCCCTACCCTTGGTGAGGGAGGCCCAGACCCAGGGTGATTGGGGGAGGGGGCGGGGGGGGGGGGCAACCTCGCACACCCATGGGCAGGGCAGTTCAGGAGGATTGCCCCAAGGAGGTCGTGCGAGAGCTGAGTTCTGCAGAATCGGTGGACATTGTCCAAGAGAAGGGGCTAGGGGTAAAAGGCCATTTCACACAGAAGGTGTTATGTTCAGGACAGCCAGGAGGTGAGTCAGCCTGGACTACTTGGGAAACGTGAGTAATTCAGCCTGGGGGAGGGGGCAGATTGGGAGATGGCTCCAGTAATGGTCTGGAGCAGAGGCTGCAGACCAAGGCAGGTACCAGGCCTGGCTACTACAACTTTAAGGAAGGACCTAGGCCTGGGTTCAAATCCCACCTATGCCCAGTTTTGATCTGTGTGAACCTGGGCAAAGGTTTTCCCCTCTCTGAGTCTCAGTGCCCTTGTGTCCTCTGTGGAGCAGGTACTGTTGTTTTGAGGATTACATGAGGTTTTAAAAATGCTTAGCTCAATGCCTGGCACATAGAATGCACTCAGTAAAGGACCTTTGGTTACTATTTGTATCAACAGCCCTGGTCCCCTCTGACCCCTGTGGTGATCTACTGCCTGTCTAAGTTACAGCCTGTGTTTATCCTGTGCTGGTCCCGCTGTCCTGCCTGTCCTGCAGCCTCAGTGTCCAGGAATGAGCCCTTCTCCCACCCTCCCACCGCCCCCGCCTTTGCAGGTACAGTCCCTCATCCATCCACGGGCCTTGTCGGGTGAAGGTACTTGGTGTGTGCCTGTGCTCCTCCAGACTGGCTCCGTTAGGACTGTGCCCCGGCACAGTGTGTGTTCCGTTGTGAGCAGAGGCCCCAGTACACAGGGGAAAGGGTAGCCCTGGGACTTCCATGGAGGATGGGGCAGGAAGCCCTGGGAGGGGAGAGTAAACAATGAAGAAGGAATTGGAGGGAGCAGAGCTGGACCAGTAGGGAGCTGCAAGGGGCCCTGCCCTCAGGGTGGGGCAGGAAACACCTGCCCCCCTCCCCGCCACCCTTAGCCAGTCCTCAGCTCTTGACTGGCCTCCCTCCCCTTTCTGGTGTGTGTGTGTGTGTGTGTGTGTGTGTGTGTGTACTCCAAGGGAGGAGTGTGTATGCTGAAGGGTATGTGTGTATCAAGGTGTCTGTGTGTCTGTGTATGCTGAGGTGTGTATTTGCGTGTGTGCTTACGTGTGCGCATGCGCGCACACACCCACCAAGGTCTGCCTGCCCAGCTCATCCAGCCACACGGTGGCCTCCGTTAGCTCAGTTCAGGGTGGGAGTGAGCACCGGGGAAGGTTAGGGACAGGAACAGGGCTCGAGTGTTAGGGTGGGATAGGGATGCTCAGGAATAGGAGCAGGGGTGTGGCTGGAGTTTGGGCTAAAGGTGAGGCTAGAGGTACGAGGAGGGGCAGACTTTACTGAGGGTGGGATGGGGCGAGCAGCAAGCAAAGCTCAGGAATGCACGGAGGCTGGTGCTGGGACTGGAAGCGGGCGTTGGGGGGACGTGAGCTGGGGGTTACCGTGAAAGGTGGTAAATAAAGGTCAACACCGGACTACTGGTTGGGGTTGGGGTTAAGGTAGGGCAAGTTTAAAGTAGCAGTTAGGAATAGAAGTTCAAGTAAGGATTCAAACTGGCGTTTGATTAGGGTCAGGATTAGAATGGAACTGAGGCAGGGAGGTATGTGCTGGAGTTAGGTCTGGAATTGGGGGTACGGTTAGGATTGGGTTGATGTGGAAATTGTAGTTGACATGGAGGTTGGTTTGGAGTTAAGTTAGGATTCCTTGGTAGGGTTGGGATTGGAGTTTGTGGTTGAAACTGGAGGTGTGGTTGGGGTTGGGTTTATGATTAGGGTTGGGTCTGGGATTTACTTGTGACGCTAAAGCTGGGCTGGGATTTGATTTCGCATTAAGGATGGGGCTTGAGTGGGGCTGCTATGGGCTGAAGGAGCCCTTTTTCTGACTCACTTTGGGTTTTCATTCTTCCCTTCCTAAGGTGCAGCAGGCTTGGGGTTAAAGGGAGGGGGCTTTGGTTCCTGAAGTCTCTTTCTCCCACAGCCCCCTGGCAGGGATGGAGGGGGTGGAGAGTTTGGGAGTGACGTCACTCCACACTGTGGGAAAGAGGAAATGGCTCCCAGGCCTTTGCCATTTGGGTCCTGCCCTACCCAACCCCACCTCTCACACGTATCCTGGGAAATGGGAAGCAACTCTCCTTCCCTTCCTCCTCCCACCCTCCCCAGTTCCCCTGCCCAGCCTGGGCCTGTGTGTTCAGGGTTCCCCCCCATCCCCCCACCTCCAGGGTGCATAGGACCTCAACATCCAGCACTGAAACTGCTGGAAGCTGGATCTTGAGGTCCTCCCAGAACCCCAGACTGCCTGGGCCCCAGACCCACACCCTGACTCCTGAGGCCTTGGTCCCCAGCACTCACACCCCTCATCACTCCTGTATGGGTAGGAGGTGGGTCTGAGGCTGTTTGGGTTCCCCACAATCCAGGATCACTTCTTCTGGCAAACTCATGCTTCTCCATAGCTTTCCAGGCCAGGCCACTTCCACTACCTGTCTTCCCAAATGAAAATCCATCAGTGGCTACCCAAAACCTTCAGAATAAAGCCAGACCCATTGCCTGGCATTCAAGGTCTTCATAATCAGGCTCCTGCTAGGCTCACCATTCAACCAAGAACAGACCAGGAAGTAGGGACCCAAACCTAAAGAGCCCAGACTTTAGAGCCAGGAAGCCTTGGATTAGAATCCAGCTCCAGTATTTAAAGGGTGTTTGACCTTTCTGAGCCTCAGTTTCTGCATCTCAAAAGTGGCAACAATAACAGCTACATTGCAAACTTCAGATTTTCTAAAGAACTGTCCTAACCAACCCCAGTCCCAGCAAGCCTGGGTCGAGACTATTTCAGCTCCTCTACTACATCAGCCTCCTACACCCTTCTCATCATAAAGCTTACCAGTCTGTCTTGCCCACTAGCCAGTGAGCTGCTGAAAGCAGAGACCCCAGTACTCATACAAGGCCTGGCATTTATTGGGTGCCACTGAGTCTTTATGGGATCAGGAAGGTTGTAGTAGTTGTGATAATCATGACATTAACATCAGATAGTATTTATCAAGACTCGATTTCTGCCAGGCTCTGGGCTAAGTGCTTTATCTGTGTGGAAACCAGACCCACCCCCTAAAGCCCTGCTGCCCCTTACCCCACCTTCTGGAAGCTGCGGAGGCTCTGCCCTGCTGTTGGTGCAGCCCTCTGGTGTCTGTGAGGATGCCGATGCTAGTCCTTTTGGCCAAGAGGTTAACTCGTGTTTAGGTGAGCTCGTCTTAGTTCCAGTGTGCACACTGAAGTTGGGCCCACTAACGCTTAGTCCTCCCAGGCCTGGCTCCACTTTTCTGCAGGCCCAGAGGCCTACGCTGACATCAGCAGGAAGGCCTGGAACAGAGCCAGGTGGAAGCCTGGAGATTCTAATGCTGAACTGTGTGACCTTGAAAGAGGTGTGGTCCACATTCCACAGCCTTCCCATCCTGCTTGTAAACGTGTCTCGGAGAATGTAACAATATCTAGTTCCTGTAAGAACCCAGAACTGCCTGAAGCAGACATTGCAACGTATGTGAACCTCCTAACAGCTCTGGGGATACTGTACAGAAATAACTGTATAGCCCCATGTTATAGATGAGTACATTGAAGCTCAGAGGTTCAGTGATTAAGAAATCATGACTTTCCCAAGAGTGCACACATGGCTCCTGATATAGTTGTATTGACTGTGCACTGCACAAGGGCACCCGGCCAACAGAGTGTCAGTTTGCATACAAATGTGGGGCAACCTCAGCCTAGAGGAAGGCACAATCTTTCAGACTCCGCATTGCCAGGTGGACTCCATGGTAGCTGTGGTCACATAGCTGCAAATTCCAGAATAGAACCCAGTTCTCACAAATGCCAAAGGAAAACCTAAACTTTTTTTTTTTTTTTTAAACAACAGACATTTATTTTCTCACAATTCTGGAGGCTAGAAGTCTGAGGTCAACGTGCAGGTTGGGCTGGTTCCTTCTGAGGCTTCTCTTCTTGGCTTGTAGATGGTCATCTTCTCCCTATGTCTTCCCACTTCCCACGGTCGTCTGTGTATTGAAAAGCCTAACATTCTACTCAGTCCATGTCATACCTCCTGCACTGTCTTCCTGATCCCAAACTCTCATCTCTTTTCCCCCTTCAGGGAAGAAGAAAAAAGGAGTGCCCACTGAGTCAGACCCTGTGAGGTAGGTTAATGATGCCATCCTACAGAGGAGGAAACAGGCTGTCGGAGTACTCAATGTCACAGGGAAAATGGATGGCTTGAGCCAAGTCCAGGCTTGGGGGAAGGGATCTCTTCCCTCCCCTCAAGCCACAGGTATGCTGGTGGCTCTTTCCCTTGAGGTTCTGGGGGCAGCTGGGGAGTGGACAGAGGGTGTGTCTGGTTATTTGCTGAGCATGTCATCTCACACCCTGTGGCCTGGCCAGGACAAGGCAGTGGGGGAGTTCCATTCACCATCTGCTCCCCACTCAGTGGGATAGCAGCTGCCTCCTCTTCCTGCAGCCCACAGCTGCTCTGAGCATTGGCCACTGAGATAACCTCCCACACCTGAAGGATGACAGGGAAGGAAAGCTGGAGCTCCCTCCTCATGCCCCACAGAGAGGACCCTCCCAGAGCTCACAGGCTAGATGGAGGATAGGACACAGGCACAGACTCCCTGGGGCTCTGCAGGAAGCATACATGTCCTCCTCGGGCCAGGTCAGACTTGCATGCCTGCCAGAAGAGGTGGCATGTGAAGTGGGCCTTGCTCCATGGGAAGACAGAGAAGGGAGCATGGAAAGGCATGGCAGCAGGAAGCACAGAGGGCAAGGGAGGGGTGGCTTGGGCTGAAGGAGAGAGTGTCAAGAGGGGTTGTGGGTGAGCAGCCCAGAGGTGGAGGCTTTAAATACATGTCTAAGGAATCTTGCCCCTAATCTGGGGACAGTGGGAAGCCATGGGAGGTTTCAGGGCAGGAGAAGACCCTGAGAAGAGCTGTGATTTTTTTAGAAAGACCTGCATGGCAGTTGATGGTGAGAGCGACCGTCTCGATATGGCTGCTGCACGAGGCCAGGAGAGAAGTGGTGTAAGCCAGCCCAGGCAGTGCTCCAGGAGGGCAGGGATTGGATTGGAAGGATGGTGTGGCAGGAAAACCAATTCTTCTTGGCAACTTGGAAACAGGGAGGAGAGGCAGACAGGGAGAAGGGAAGATCACTCCTTGAGATGTAACACGTGCCAGGGCCCATGTTGGCTGCTCTCCATCTGACTTGTCCCTGATGCTCTCAACAACACCTTAAGGTATTTCATCTCCATTTCACATATGAGGAGACTGAGACTCAGAGAGGGCAGTGTCTTGCTCAAATGGAATTCTAGGTCCTTCTGACTCCAACGTCTGTGTTCATCCCATTGCCTCGAGTATTTTGCTGGCCTTTGGGGCCTGCAGAGAACATGTTCAACCACAGGCAAAGCATCTCCCATGGACCAGAGTCTGATGTACAGCCTGGGGGCAAGAGCAGGTACAGATCTGGGATCCAGCCCAAAGGGATAGAGGAGGGAGAAGCAGTGACAGGGAGAAGCCAGGGATGTGATGAGAAAAGGGAAGAGTTAATCTGTTTCAGACCTGCAGGGCCTATCCCTGACAGTGCCTAGGAACCCAGCTCGATCCCAGGCAAGCGTCTCCTAGGATATGGGACCTCGGGGAGGGAGCAGCAAACAAGCCAACGGATTTGAGTAAAGAATCATCTCCCTGTCCCCTGTCTGCAGCTTATGAGCCACATACACAAAGTCTCAGTCACAATCACACAGCTACACAATCACATATCCAGCCACAGACACACAATTGCACAAGCACACACATACAAGGTCTCACTCACAGTCACATCAGCTTATGCATGTACACACTCTCACACGGAAACAGAGGACTATTCCAGGAAGGCCTCTGCCTATGATCATCAATCAGGCATGGGAAGGGTGAGAAGTGTCCTCAGAAGTCTTTATTGCCATTGTCTGGGACAGGAAGTTGTCTCTCTGGCCTTTTGAGTGTGGGAGGGGCGTCATTCATCCCCAGTGATGTCAACTCAGGCCCAACTCTGGGACGGGGGGGTGGGAAGAGGTGGGATGACCTGAGGGAGGTCAAGGACAACTGGAGAGTGCTGTGGAAGA